GATGACCAGGCCGGCCCAGCTCCCACAACATCGCGCAGCCCTTCACCTCACCATTCAGCGTTATCTCCAGAGATAATTGCCTTAATGAAGTTTATGAGAGATGAGAGACGCGAGGATGAAGCTCACAGACGTTTGGCGGATGAGCACAGAAGGCAAGCAGAGGCAGAACGAGACCACCAACGGAGAATGGAAGACAGTGCACGGTTTGAAGCCTTGATATCTCGCCTCACTGTTAACCAAGCCCCTGGCTCTAACACTGCCTCGGTACTGAATGGTTCAGATACCTCATCCATGCTTCCTTCACGCCCCCCAGCCCCACCTAAAGCAGCAGCTCAAACGCCGCCCATCTTGGAGCCTGATGTAAATTTCCAGACTTTTCGCGAATGGCGGCGGCGGTGGGCTGATTATGCTACAATGGTGGATCTCCAGAGTTTGTCACAGCCTAAACAACTCATCCAGCTGCGTATGTGCCTGTCCTTGGAAGTTCAGCGTGTCTTAGAACATACGTTGCAGGTACCCCCAACCTCTTCGCTGTCTGTAGAGGAGGTACTGGACGTTCTACAACGGCACATCAAAGGACAGCAGAATGAAGCTCTGCGCAGGAGGGAATTGTTTAGCTGCAGACAGATGGAGGGTGAGTCTTTTGACGCTTTTTATGTACGTCTTAAGAGAGCCTCGGAAGAGGTAGATATATGTTCAGGCCACCACCAGCAGTGCGAGGAGACCCAGTTGAAGCAGGTGATCCTGATGGGTGTTAAGGACGAGGAACTTGTCCAACGCCTCACCTCCCTCGACTCTTCCTCTTCTCTTCAGGATGTGTTGACGATATGTCGCTCCTATGAGGCTGCCAGGTGTGCCACCTCTGCCATCCGAGCTCCCCCTACAGCTGTACGCGCTGTTTCCCGGTACAAGAAGGACAAGAAGTCTGCTCCTACGCCTTCGCCCACCACGTCCACGCCCGGTTCATTTTGCAACAACTGTGGTAAGCAGCACGGAACACAGGTATGTCCAGCTGCTCAGTCTACCTGCAACAGTTGTGACCGTATGGGCCACTGGTCGCTCACAGTGCGGTGCCCAGCTAAGTACGTACAGTGCAATGTGTGCGGTCGTCTGGGCCACTATGACAAGTGTTGCCCTACCCACGAACCCAAGGGACAGCGTCGGCGGAAGCTTCGGCGCCCTTCTACCAGTGAGGGCCGCCCACAGTCGCCAAATCAGAGGCACGACGACCCGGGACAAAGCCCGACCCATTTTAGGAGGGTGTACTCCTCGCATCCCAGGACCAAAGCCCCCCAGTACATCAGCGTCATCGTGACCTACGGCGGTGTGTCATCCCGTCTTCAGATGTTGCCGACACCGGCGCTGATGCTACAGTCATCGGTCCCCAGCATTTGCGATGCTTGGGGCTCTCTCCAAGCGATCTAGGACCGCCTCCCGAGGACCTCCGCTTTATGGCAGATGGTTCACAGATGGCCCCAGCCCTGGGTTCACTTTATGCACATGTCACCTTTGGCAACAGGTCGTGTCAGGCCTGGATTGACGTGCATAATGGTGTCCCGACTCCCTTGCTGTCCTACAGACATTGTCAAGAGTTGGCCATCATCTCCCAGGACTTCCCAACACCGATTCTCGAGGTAAATTACGCCAACAGGGTGCATGAAGGGAGCAGCAACTACCCTGCTGCCGCTCTACCCCTACCTCTGGCCAGTGACACCCCTCCTTCGGTAGTTGTCCCTGCTGCATCACGTCCCCACGCCTTGGCTCGCCTTCACGACAGTCACCGTGGAGCTGAGGCCACCAAACGACGTGCACGACAGACTGTGTTCCGGCCTGGCATCGACCCCGACATGTCCAATGCTGTCCAGGTGTGTAAGCCCCGCCACGTATTACAACCCAGCCAGCAGCAGGTACCCTTCATGAGTGACGACAACCCCACCCGCCCCTTTGAGTCTGTGTCGGCCGACTTTTTCTGTGTGTTAGGAAAGTCCTTCCTGGTTATCGTCGACCGTCTCTCTGGTTGGCCGGTTGTCATCAAGGGCGGTAATGACACGACGTCTGCCGCCACCATCAGCAAGTTCCGCCACTACTTCCGTGACGTGGGCGTTCCTGTACGCCTGCGAACCGACGGAGGGCCTCAGTTCACAAGCCGGGACTTTGCTGTGTTCCTTGACCGATGGGGAGTCCGGCATGTGCTGTCATCGCCCCATTACCCACAGTCCAACGGCCACGCTGAGGCTGCTGTCAAATCCCTGAAGCACCTCATCCTTAAGGCGGACCCTTCTGGGAACATTGACTGCGAGGCCTTCGACCGGGGTCTTCTTGAACTCCGCAACACACCCAACTACACCGGACGCTCCCCTGCCCAGGTTTTGTATGGACGCCCCCTTCGTTCTTGTGTTGTCCCTGCTCACCCTCAATCCTTCTCTGTGAGTGGTAGGCTAAGACAGGAGGATTGTGATCGCCGAGCCGCCGAACGTTCAGGACGTCGTCGCCCGCTACAACGACTACACGCCCCGTTCTCCCCCCCCAGGTTGAGGTCGGCACCCAAGTCTGTGTTCAGGACCCGACTCTCCCTACGTTGGGACAAAGTAGGCGTAGTCATGGGTCTCGGCAGGTCACGGGACTACCAGGTGCGGTTACCCAGTGGTCGTGTGTGGTGGAGGAACCGCCGTTTTCTCCGCCCCGTAACACTGCCTTCTGCTGGCCCCGCCACCAGTGTTGAGTCCCATACCCTTCCCAGTGATGAAGTCCCTCGACGCTCAGAACGGATCCAGAAGAAAAGGTCCGCTCAAGACTTTGCTATGAGCGTATAGGGGGAGGGAGGTGTATGTATATTATGTATGCTGGATTATGTATTATGTATGTATATTATGTATGTGCTCCATTTATATTTATTCAGCCTAGCTAGCAGCGTGTGGCAATGTTATTACCATATCCCACATGCTTAATTAATGTGCCTGGCGACGTATGGAAGCTGCTAATGTATCACTTGCCATACGTCGTCTGGTAGTTGACCAGGACCTTAGCTAGGAGCAGTGCTATCCACCTCTGTACATACTCTTATCCAGTAAACCGAACCTACAAAACTATACAGGTGTTTGTGTTCTTCCTGTATATAGAACTTATTACCCAGAACATCTAACACTAAAGCTCTTCCTTACATTCCTTTAATACTCTGGCAAATATCTCATCGGGACCATGTGACTTATTAGGCTTTAGTTTGTCTATTTGCTTACTAACATCGTTACTAGTCACTACTATCTCGCTTAATTTGTTTTCTTCACTATCTCCGAATAGAGTCGGTGCCTCGGGTATCATGTTTAAATTTTCAGTGGTTAAAACTGTTCAAAAATTTTTATTCAAATTATTGCTCATTTCTCCGTCGTTATCAGTGAGCTCGCCGGTATCTGACCGTATTGGTCCAATCTTTTCTCGTGTTTTAGTTTGATACATTTGGTAGAATACTTTGGGGTTTGTCTTTGCCTCCCTTGCTATCCTTACCTCATTATTCCTCTTGGGTTCCCTTATCTCGGTTTTAACCCTACTCGCCAATATCTTATAATAATCCTGGAGGTAAATTTCGCCACGCTTTATCCTTCTACCTATAGCCTTCCTTTGGCCAATGATGTTCTTTAAATAATTATTTATCCATTTAGGGTCATTGTTGTCTGATCTGAGTTTTTGTATGGTATATTCTGCCTTTGTGCATTAAGTAACTCATTATTCAAATTGTCGTGGAACTCTGCAATCTCAGATCTCGTTATCAGGTCTGAGTCATCTGTCAGGTTCACTGCCAAGCGCGACAACCCCTCTCTCAGCTGCCTCTTTAAACTGTCAAAGTTTGCCCTTCTGAAATCTGGTACTTCAGTGGAATTTTCCTTACGTCTGTCCTGAAAATCTAACTGGAATCTAATTTCTTTGTGATCTCTGTTTGCAAGTTCGTTCCCTACCTCGACATTGCTAATGAAGGACCTCACGTGGTCATGGGGACACCGGGTGGTGTAGTGTTCACGTGGTGCAGCAACTCGTCCTCGGGTGTTGATATGAAGGACCTCACGTGGTCATGGGGACACAGGGTGGTATGGGGTGGTGTCACAGTACCTCACCCTGCTGGGTGGTGGTGTGTTATATCGTAGTCAGGTGTGAAGCCGGCTCTCTATTGTTCCCAGGGTGGATGGATTAGCACCTCCTGGTCAGAAGATGGTGGTCAGTTCCCAGGGGTGCTTATCTCACTGGTGGGTCATGGCTCTCACTGGTACTGTCTAGTGCTGAATTCACTGGCATAAACACTGTTCATCACTATTCAACACTGGTCCCACTTGTTTCCGAAACGAAATTGTCACTTTTGATTATGTAGATATCCCGGTGGTGAGGATGGGTCGAGGAGAGGGACTTTAGGAATGGGCCGAACATTGGCCAAGGGGGGCTGCTGCTCAGCAGGAGCAGCGCCTCAATAGGTCTCGACCCGACGGTGGTCAAGGATGTAGTGTGTGCACGTGTGTGTGTGTGTGTGTGTGTGTGTGTGTGTGTGGGTGTGTGTGTGTGTGTGTATGTGTGTGTTAAAAATTACCAGTTTATTGAGAGAAAATATCAGCCACGGGCTGAAAATGCACAATGAGCAAAATGATAAAAGTTTTCAATACAAAAATAGGAGGAAACATGTAGTAAACATATATGTTAACTAGGGCCTGATAGCTTTCACTGTTGTTGGAAAGAGACTGGACTTAGTCCTCATACAACTGTGTACAGCAAGACGATCACGGGATTTCTTAGGGAGAGAGAAAGTATTTAATCTCCACTTTTTTTTTATTGTCATTAGCCCTGAAAAATTTACTTGTCGATGGACGTGTTTTATCCCTAATCAATTAAATATTGATTAAATCCTTTCAGTGAGTCATTTAAGAGCTGATATTTACTACAAATTTAAGATTTTTCATATCTAGCACTGACCAGGCCAGGAAATACGTTAAATTGTTGAAAATATTACTCTCCTTCACCAGATTCATCCAGCGGCCAACCTTGGTGGTGACGATGCAGGAGACAGTACTCACTAGAGCCGTGATGAAGTCAGATCCTGAGACTCCCGGGGACCAGCGACTCTCGTTCACAGGGCTCATACCCAACCTCCTGCAGACAGTCGCAAGGAGCACCAACTTCTCGTATGCATTTTCATTTTAACTTGTAAACTTTTGTACCGTATATCAGTTCGAAAGCGCAATAAATGCTTGCATATGAAACTCTTAATATACTTGACAAACTCCAGATCTTTATAATAAGATACATGTTTTGTTTTTTTCCATTCTTGGAAGTCATTTCCCACAACGGAACATGGTAGCAAGAATCCACAGCAACACTGACTTTCTATTCACCTGCTGTCATTCACTAGGTGATTTACCAGACATATTCTGCATAGTGTTCCACTTCGCATTCTACATGTCCATCCCATTTACTCATTTTGATTCATACTCTCCAAGTTTTGCACGTCATTAGCATGACTCTTCACAAAAGCATCTCATCGGTAAGCTTTCCAGTAAGACTATTTCTCCCTAACTGCCACTATATCTGTCATAGTGAGTCTATCAATGGGCTTCTCTGAGTCTTTCCATAACCTTTATTATGAGCACTATGTTCACCAGGTACAGATTCTCGCGTCCCCCAGACCGTACCTGGGGCACAAGACAACCGGATGGTTCCTGGTCTGGCATGGTGGGTGTGGTATCCAGAGGGGTGAGTATGATCAACCTATGGTTATTCTGATGTCAAATGTGGTTATAAATAAATAAATATATATATATATATATATATATATATATATATATATATATATATATATATATATATATATATATATATATATATATATATATATATATATATATATATACTGTACTGTACTGTACTGTACTGTACTCTACTGTACTCTACTCTACTCTACTATATTTTACTCTACTCTACTCTACTATATTCTACTCTACTCTACTCTACTCTACTATATTCTACTCTACTCTACTCTACTCTATTCTACTCTACTCTACTCTACTCTACTTTATTCTACTCTACTCTACTCTACTCTACTCCAGAAAACAGACAAAAGTTTTAAACATTACAGGTAACATACAATAAAAACGAAACATTATACTAAAATTTGCCTTCCGAAATTTGTTAAAGATCATTATAATTTAAAACCGATAAAAATGACGAGAAACCTACAGTGCAAAACTAAAATCAGAAGAAAAATCCTAAAATATACAGGAGGTATTACCTTAATTTAGATGAGCTTTAGTGAGAAAAACAAAACAATTTACAGGATGTCATTACACAAATGGAATATTTCTAGTTGTCCACGGCAACAAATATAATAGTACTGTGCAGTGATATTTCAAAAATAAGCATTGAAGTTATGACAGTTGAGAGTAAAAATATTGATAGGTTCTACGGAAAAGATAATTAACCATAAACAAACGTGAATAAGCAACATTCATGTGAATGATCATATTTATTGTAATTTTGCTTAATCCAACATTATAAGTTTTGTGTAGTAAGACAAACTGTTTATAAATGAAAAAAAATAGCTGCATTATTTCTTTTACATCAGGAAACAACACTTGTCATGACGAGTTCATTTCTATAAGGATTCACTGCAAGTGTTCATCGTTCACAGGAGGCAGACATTAGTCCTGGCCCTTTCGCCATAAGTGCCAGCCGGGCTGAGGTGGTGGACTTCACCTGGCCAGTAAGTGTATCTTATTCAAGAATCATGGCACCTCGAGGGCGACCAGAGGTAGACCCGTGGGGCTTTCTGCTGCCTCTAACGCCGCTGGTGTGGACGGCTACCATGACGGCGCTGCTGGTGCTGTCTACGACGATATTCCTTCTGGTTACATGCCTGGCTCAAAATAACGTTAACAGAACTATTTGGACGGTGGATGTCTACGGCCTGATTCGAGTTTTGCTGCAACAAAGTAAGTTTTCTATTTTTACAACACTAAAGTCTATTTCCATCAGACAAAAGAATTTACAGTAATTTCGGTCATCCTCATTTTACATCTTTCTTTAGTTTTCAACTCTGGAAATCAATTATTATTTTTGTCAACACAACAAAAAATTTACTCGTATTTTTTTCATGATGTAAAATCTCCTGGGAGTATAACCAAAACCTCCTCCTTTATACACTGTAATCTCTGTACCTCACTTGCTAGTATTCTTCCATGACATTCTTATAATTCTATATATTTGAAGAGATGAATACGTTTTTTTGTTAATCACTCACTTTTTATTTATCAATTTATTTACTTATTTATTTATTTAATTAATTTATTTATTTATTCAATTGTTTTTTAGATATCTCGGAACTCTCCGACTGGTGGTGGTGGGAGCGGCTGGTGTTGGCGGTGTGGATGTTGATGACACTGGTGTTAACACGGAGCTACGCCGGCAACCTCATGTCCCTCCTGGCCGTGAGACACATCTCAGAGCCTTACAAAACGCTCCGAGAGGTGCTGGATGACCCGTCTGTGACCATGATATGGCAAGATAATTCAGCAAGCGTGCAGTATTTTCGTGTAGGTATTATATTTTTCGTGATTTGAACTTAAGATGTGACAAAAATGTCTGGGAGAACAAAGATATTATACGTATGTTGTATATCTTTCAGTAAGACCTACAGTATTTGATGTATTCACTGAAGGTTCACTGTTGATCCCGTTATCTAATTTATAAGCTATTGACATCTAAATAGTCCTTTGTTTATTGAAGAATACATCTTATTTTATTTACCAAATGCTCAAAGTTGTCACCTCTATCAGTTTATCAACCAATGGAAGCTAAAAATTATATTGTTCAGCCTGTTACCTCTTGGAAGCTCCACTAGAAGCTTGGGATTAGCATCTCCGGCAGGTTTATCATCCATTCTAAATGAAGCTACATACTCATATAGTAGGAACATGTCATCTATCAAAAATGTAGACACCCTCTTCAGTCTCTCGTCACCTGGAAGCTTACTATTACCACCATCTTCCAGACCACAGACCACGGCATCTTTAGGGAGGTGGGGGAGGCAGAGACCGCAGGGCGCATCAGGTTCCTGTCCCTGAAGGAATACGGCTCAGTTGTGGCTCCGTTGCTGAGGCGGGGCGACCACGTTCTTATAGAGGAAGAGACTGTTATAAAAATGTTGATGGCTCAAGACTTTACTTACACAGGTTCATTTGGTTTTGATATTTAACATTTATGTTTACATTAAATTTTCTTATGTTTAAGGTTTAGTGTTTTTCTATTGTTTAGATTTTATTTACTCATTTCACGTTTTTGTTTTTTTTCAGTGTTTAATGTTCGCATATTTTTGGGGCAAAAAGTCCTATTATTGCTTTACAATTCGAGTTCATTTAGTGTCATAATTTAACGAGTTTTCAAGCCTACTGATCAAACGGTTTTCTTTTTTATTGTTTTCATCTTCATAAAAATAGTAATTATAAGAAGAATAACTTTACTTCAGAGTTAGCCCCATGCATATAAATCACTAGAGGACTCTGTCACTGGAAAGGAACAGATACTATTGACAGTAATAAGGATAACATTTAGCATGTCTTCATTCACAGTTGTTCTTTGTAAGACTCACAGGAAGACCGGGGTGCCTGGGATTATTAGAATCTCTCTCTCTCTCTCTCTCAACACACGGACTTCAAGTCGTACAAGAACCTTCATGTCTCCATCAGGCCGCTGTGACTTCCACACCTCCAGAGAACAGTACCTGACCATAATGCTGAGTATGATAACGCAGAAGAACAGCCCTCTCATACCTGCCCTGCATAATAGGTGCTGACTGACTGACTATACTGTGTGTGTGTGCTGTAACTGTGTGTGTGGGGGGAGGATGAGTAGATGATACATTGTGTATGAGTGTGTGAGCATATGGGTATGCCATGATGAGTGGTGGTATGCATGACCGTGTGTGGGTGTGTGTGTGTGCTGTAACTGTGTGTGTGGGGGGAGGATGAGTAGATGATACATTGTGTATGAGTGTGTGAACATATGGGTATGCCATGATGAGTGGTGGTATGCATGACCGTGTGTGGGTGTGTCTAGCCAGGTGAATATGGTTAAACATGGTTAGGTTTCTGGGTAAATGGATAAGTGTGTGTTTGTAGGGTGATGACCAGCAGATGGTTGTGTGTTCGTTTGTTTGTGTGTGCGGGTAAGTGATTCTGACAGTTGGGTGTTTGTTGGTAGATATATGAATGTTTGGATAAGTGTGGGTGTTTTTGTACGTGTATTCAATTAAGCATGAGCACGTGTGGATATGTGCATTGCAGTTTAGACTTAAATGTTGATGTGATAAACCTACGTTGTAATATTCTCGATTGTTTAGCAATAGCCCAACCGACGGTACAATCGGTAGACAGCGCACCAAATTTACTGCCACATGTAGTGGTATTCTCTACTAAATTAATAAGAAAATATTCATTATGCATTCACATTTTGCAGAATAATGCGAGTAATGGAGGCTGGGTTGTTTGATCAGTGGCTGAAGGAGATCATCCCTAACTCCACATCTTGTCTCCACCCACCGACCAAGATCACTGTTAACACGTCTCTCTCCATAGTTAGCATCTGGGTATGACTGCCATTATATTGATGTAAATATACAGCACGTCGTTGCAACATTTCCTGTCAGACCAATTATGTAAATATAAACGAGCAAATATAAACCAACCACCACTGACTTCATATTGCAGTACTTTGTCAGAATGATTCTTTCCATCGTTAGTTATTATACCATCGTTTCAAAGTATGGTACTCCTAGCTACCTGCATGCAATTTTTATTCCAGGATATTTAATTTGATGATTTACAGAGGTTGTTGGGAAGTTTGGCCGACTTTCTCTGGTATCCTCAGGTAATAAAAGTGTTATTCTTTATTCCAGGGAATGTTTATGGCCCTGAGTACAGGACACGTTCTTGGGTCGCTGGTGTTTGGCTTCGAGTTCCTCTCCGACCGTCTAAGCCTTGTCTCATGAAGCTTCCCACTACAGGTTGCCTGGCTTGTAATAAAACACCGGTATTATGACAGTCACACTACACCCATAGTATAATAATGTATTACATGAGTGTGAACTGCATTTACTCTTCCCGCCAGAAAGAGAAATAGGAGAAATATAAGACTGTAATAGGAAAATAATTAGACCTCATTCGGTAAATTAAGAACAATATCGTACATTACTTCAAGTAAACAAAGGGATGATGTACTGAGATGTGTTTATGATGCAGGACGTCTAGCAGGTGGGGGAGGGCCCGTTATTATGGTCTCTATATTCATTGTTTATAATAAGAATGTTTCACAACAACACGACTTAAAATTTACAGTCAAACTTTGTTCACAATAAAATCACCAAAGAGGCTCAGTGAGAAGCTGCTGACATCTCGGTAAGTTCAACTTTGCTTCCAGTCTTCATAGTTTGTATTATTATTTTTGTTATTATTATTATTATTATTTTTGTTATTATTATTATTATTATTATTATTATTATTATTATTATTGTTATTATTATTATTATTATTATTATTATTATTGTTATTATTGTTATTATTATTATTATTATTATGATTATTATGATTTTTATTATTATTATTATTATTATTATTATTATTATTATTATTATTATTATTATGATTATGATTATTATTATTATTATTATTATTATTATTATTATTATTATTATTATTATTATTATTATTATTATTATTATTATTATTATTATTATTATTATTATTATTATTATTATTACACATACACACACACACCACTGTGCTTTCCTAATCCTTATCAACGACGCTCTGTCGGACACTCCTCACAGGTGGAAGTACGTGGATGACTGCACTGTGGGGGTTACAGTGGACAACACCTCACCGGACTACTCATCGCTACAAGGCACCTTGGACAGGCTACAGGCATGGACTACGGAGAACAAGCTTACCATCAACCACACCAAAACCTTAGTCATGCACATCAATACCGCCACCACAACAGTGCAAGCTCCAGCAGTCACAGTGGGTGCCCAACCTCTCCTGTTAGTGCAGTCTGCTAAACTCTTGGGTGTTACCATAGACCACAAACTGGACTGGAAGGCTCATGTAAACAACACAATCAAGGCAGCCTCGTACCGACTGTACATGCTACGACGACTCAGTTCACTTGGGGCACCCACGCCAGAGCTGAGGACTATCTACAACGCCTTTATTCTCCCCAAATTAACGTATGCGTCACCAGCCTGGTCGTCTTCTCTCAACTCTACCCAACAACGCCAGTTAGAGAAGGTACAGAAAACGGCCTGCAGAATCATGCTCGGCGCAGGCTACTCCGGCTACATCAACGCTCTCTCCACCCTGGAAATGCCATCACTCAGTGACCTCCACCACCAAGCACTAGCAAGGTTTGGCAGTGAACTACTGCACCATCCTCGTCATCGCCACCTCCTGCCACCAGCAGTCCCCCACCCATCTCGCCCAGTCCGCCACTACAACAAAATTCAGTCCATAAGAGCCCGCACTGATAGATATAAGAATAGCACCATCCCATCTATTGTTGAAATAATAAACAACTTCTGATTTATGTACTGCACAGCCCTGCATTTGTATTGAACGCATATCATTATGTCTAAATCACATGTAAGTTTGTATACTGTATTTTCAGCCACCGGCTGCAACTCTTTTTATAAACAGTTTATTATTATTATTATTACACACACACACACACACACACACACACACACACAAACACACAAACTTGATCACCATAATGCAATTCCATTGCAGAACATGTCTATCAGACAAACACATCATCTCTCTCCTTCTTGAAGAACACGACCCAGTCATTCTCCTCCTCAACTCAACTTACACAAACCCAAAAATCAAACACTTTGGTTACACATGCAGACAGTCACCTCACGAAGAGCCTGAGGATGTAGCAATTCTCATCAGTCATCTATCAGACACTTCATGGCCGCCAAGATTGACACTGAACACAGACAGATAACAGTTTTCACTACATATACGAGACCAGGCAGATACTGTTCATACTCTTCACAGACTTAAATTCCATCTTTAACGACAAATACTTCCCCGTAACACTAATGGCCTATCTTAAGGAAAAACACAGGACATTTCCAACACAATCGCACCAAGCTCCATGGCCAACAACTACACACACTGGTCACACACAATAATCTCCACCACACTGAATCCTTCTACCTCACATGCTACGTTGGCAACGGAAGAGACACCCCAGACATCACCATCACAAACACACTAGCCCTTCAATTTCAACACTACATTTCTCTAGGCCCCCAACCAGGCTCAGACCACATGCCCACCAAGCTACACCTCAGACCACACCACAGACTGGAATGCTTTTCAATCCACACTTTCTGAACAACACTGCACACTTAACCTCAAACATCAATCTACAGGAAAAATAGAGGAAACATGGTCACAACTTTTTAACATAACGTCTGCTATACCGCTACAGACGACGATTTGAACAGAACAAACATAACCTCACAGTATCACAGGCAGACATCACTACACTAGGAACACATATCCAGGGCCGGGTTAAGACTTTCGTAGGCCTTAGGCACCTCCAAGATATGGGGCCCCATTTGACAGCATATTCACTAATAACACAAGCTAGTACCTAATTATAAAATGTGATGTCGAAAGAATAACATTCAGTGATGTTTGTCATGAATTGAGTAAAAGAAAATGGGTTAGATCAGCTGAAAAAAAATAAAAATTTTGTGTACTCTTTGAAACAACTTTCTTCTGCTAATTTGCTTTCATCTATGGCCAGAATATGCCTAAATAGAATAGTATAGAAAATAATCAAGTAACATAAATAGATACTAATAGGATTAAGTAATAAATAAATGGAAAAAAGTACCTCAGTATCAATTTAATAATAACCTGTAGAAAAAGGGGAAGAAAAGTTCTCGTTTTATTTTTCGTAGGCCCCCAATATCTCGTAGGCCCTAGGCACTGTGCCTACTGTGCCTAATGGATAATCCGGGCCTGCACATATCATCCATAGCTGAAGCCACGACAAAGAAGCGCACAAGGCAAGTCTCGTAGAGGCCTCCCAGGAGCACAGGACACACAACCCCCGAGATTTCCGGCAAAGAATTTCCAAAAGAGGGAGACAGCTTGGCTTCCCTTCGATTATTTACAAGTTAAAAGCAGGTGAATCAGGAAACCAGCCGAAGCAGCACAAACATTAAAACAATACTGCGGACACATCTTCCACTTACACACAGGACGCCACATCACACAAGAACACATCCTCACCACATCACCACCCTGACGGAAGTCAAATAAGTACTCGACACGACACAACAAAGAATAAAAACAGCAGGTGACAGCAACATAGACACCAAATCCTAAAAACCTACTCCCACAAACAGTCACAGCCATCACTTCACAGTACACAACTAGCAACAGTGTGAGACACACTAGCCAGACACAAACTAGACTAGACCATTCTCACAAGACAAAGCACACAGGGAACCTGAACGGCCATATGCAACAAAAATCACCTAGTGTTCGGCACAACAGACGGAATTTCTCCGGACACTTCCACTTGCTACAGTCAGCGTTGTCATTCAATATTCGAGAGTCGTGAACCACTTATAGAATATGAACTCCACGTCCGGAAATATATTCACTCCCCCAGCTTATAGGGTGTTTACCCAGATATGGATTCCTCAGCATTCATAATATGTATAATATAGTTCTTTACATTATTGTTGGCTAATTATATGTCCTGAATGTAGTAGATCCACTAACCAAATGTCAATGTTTCC